CTCCAGCATCTGCAGTTCCTACTATCTCTAATGACTATTGTGACTGTTCTAAAATCCTAGGAACATGCTGACTTACTCATTAATCGCCTTTTCTTGTGCTTGTGTGCTGTCTGTGTGTTTGCATTTGCTTGCTGTTCCAATTCCATTTCGATTTGAAAAATAAACATTTATGTTTCTCAAACAAAAAAGCAAGAAAACTGACCTGGTTCCATCCTTGAGATTCATGTTGGTCAAGGAATTAAACACCTCCTCCTTAAATCAAATTTTGTTGTGGTTACTGGAGACGTGGATAAAAAAGGAGGAACCTTCCTACAATCTTGCTTCTGCCTGTAACACATGGCCAAAATGACTCGAAATAAATTCAAAGAGCTACTTTCTTCAGATGCCAAAGACAGGCCAGAATTTTCTGCTCCTTTGAGCAGGGTAGGCAAAGGCAAGATGGTTGGAAATAATGTGGTGAAAATAGAAAATCAGCATCTTGATGTTGAGTAATAATTTCTGATTTTCCCCTGAGGCTTTAACCCGCGAGTTCTGAATCTCACAGATAAGTGGTGCTAACCTTGTTTCCAAGTATTTGCATCTCATTATTATTCTAAACTTGTCTCATTTCTATGCAGCACCCAAACGTCCTCACTTTCCCTGAGAACTAGGTAGTGCCAGACATGAAGCTCAGAGTCAGTACCTCGCAGCAACAGTTCACTGTTTGTTTCTCTGGGCTTTCATCCATCTCTGTCTTCGCCATAATTTTCCTACATGCTCCATGCATCCTATCCTCCCCCACACATTACAAACCACCAGTCTCATCACAACACCATGGCTACTTTGAACCAACTCACATCCACTTCAGTCCTTCAGGTCTTCACTTTGGAAATCTGGGACACATGATTTGCATCTTTCTGGCAGTTCACTTGGGCCACAGGGATGCACATATGTCTCTTGTATTTGGACAAGGTGCATCTTATGTCTCTTAGTAGCTTACTTGGATTCTGCCAGTCTCTCTGGCTTTTATCATTTTTGGCCCATAGACTTTTCAATGGTTATTACAGGCTTTCAGCCTCTGTGGCTTGTATTATTATTTAGTACAATAGGAGAAGCATGCAACTTATCACAGTCTGGCGCACTGAGCAAACAAGGTGGTGCAGTCAATGCCGTGTGGAGCTGGAGGAACACAGCAGATCAGGCAGCATCAGAGGAACAGGAAAGTCGATGTTTCGGGTTTACACCTTCCATCAGGACCAGTGTAAACCCAAAATGTCAACTTTCCTGCTCCTCTAATGCTGTCTGACCTGCTGTGTTCCTCCAGCTCCACACTGTATTGACTCTGACACCAGCATCTGCAGTTCTTGTTATCTTCAAAGAAGGTGGTGCGCATATTTCTGAATGGCATCTTGCTAGGTCAATGGTACACTTGGAGCATAGGTCAGCAGGTTAGCCAGCACACGCCGCATGTGCTTCAACCAAATGGCCGTGTCTGAATGTCAAAGTCCTTAGAGGGGTCAACCATGCACGGTCAGGAGTGTCACCATAATCAGTCAAAGGTATTATCCAATTCTAGTCCATCAGTTTGCAATCATCAGTCCTGCAAGTCAAGCGCAGCCAGTTTGGAGATGTTTGGTCTCTCAGTTTGAGATGCAGTGAAGACATCAGTGATGAGGAAGGAAGGGAGGTCAATTTTTCTTGCAATGAGATAAAGGGAGTGTAATGACAATAGATGGAAGAGCAATTAGTGAAAATGTAGGGGCAGAGGTGGTCATAGGGTGTCTGTATTACGTGTGTGGGAAGTGCAGAAGGTAGCAAGTGTTCATAGATTAGGAGGAAAAGGTGGGTGAGAACCCTTGACTGGACATGACTCATGAATTAATGTGAGTTATAGCATATGAGTGTTGATGGGAGGTGGTCAGGCTGAATTAAAATGCGTCATTGCCCTGTGAGTGTAAGATAGCAGAGAGAAGTAGTAGCACTTACCATTGTGAAGCACGGATCATTATTGTAAATAAAAATGGCCCTAGCACCAATTTCTGTGGCACAGCACTAGTTACAAGTTACAATGCTAATGTACAGTACCAACCACCATGAATTCTTTGCCAATAAAATGGGAAAATACGACTAATTAATTTAATGGTTTTAAGAAAACATTGTGGTTAATGGTCATCTTGTAGAATAGATTCATTCAATAAAGTGCATAATAATGATTTAATTTGAATAGTGTTCTATGGCAACCATCGACATGGTTCACATTTCACAATCAGTGTAGAAGTCAATCCCAGTTTTGGAAAGACTTTCAAGGGTTCTAAGGTTAACTTTTATGTCGCGATCTACAGGTGTCTGACACATAAACTTGCTCATTCTCTCTGCTGGTAGGGACTATGTGACTCTTAACTGTCCTCTGGGCAATTAGGGATGGCAATAAATGCAGGCCTAGCCAGTGACACCCTCAGCCCGTGAATGAATTTTTAAAAAAACTACACTGCTGCCTTTTTTTTTCCTGATTTTCTATGTGATTTGCAGATTTTCATACTTTCTATGTGCATTTTTGACTTTTTTTGTTTTTTTTTGTTGTCAGATTATAATGAATTTAATTGTGATCATGAAACAAATCCTTGTGGGATTGATGCCTATTGCAACAGAACAATGTTTTCACTTTTCTGTGAGTGTCGGCCTGGCTTTCAAAGGAACAAAGCCTCAAAGCAGTGTGAAGGTAATTAACACATTCTTTATTGCATGGGATTTGAACTTAGAAGAATTGTTTCTTATATTTAATTAGGAATGTTGGTGTTTGGAGCAGGGGTAGGGCATTCAATCCTTCAGGACTATTCTGCCATTCAATAAAATCATGGTTGATCTGATTTTCTCCCAACGCTAGTTCCTTGTTTGCCCTCCATAACCCCATAAATACTTACATATATGTTATTGGGTCAAATCTTGAAATGAAAACATTATAAAAGTGACTATAATTCTGACCTCTTCCAATTAATAGCAAAATGTAGAAGAATTATTCAGTAACAAAATGTGACCTTTATTCTCAAATTAATTTAAAATAATCTTTAAAAGAGGTAATTCATTTTATTAATGTTATTTGGTGTTATCTAGAATATTCCAAATACGAGGTGATAGAGTGAGTTAGAAATCTGTCCTTTCATCCTTAAGGCCTGAGTTAAGTGACAAATCTTCCCATCGTTGTTGGTTGTAAGGTTCGGTGTAAAGTTTAGATAGGCTCCATTGTGACTGTAACTCCACAAAGATATAAAACAAAACTGGTAGCATTAACTTCAATGAAATTTTAAAACACATGGATTGATGTCCAAGATACAAATGTAGTGACATAGCAAGAGACGTTGTCCCCTTTATTTTAGGGTGTAGGCATTTTGCTGATATAGTACAGAAGGAGCTCTACAATCAATTCATATTTTATACCTCTTATATTTGTTTGCTGCTAAGGCTGAACATAAAATACTCATAATGCTTATTGTGATGATCAGTTTAGCAGAAAGCATTGAAAGAATATCAAGAGTGACCACTTTTTAACCTTCTGAAGATTTTCACTGCTTTGCAGACCTATGTTTAAAGACACTTATGCAAATATAAACAGTGTGAGTTAATGGTAACATGTTACAGTCAGATTCTAATGGATGAATGATAAATAACACAAACATAGTTTCCTGTTCAATTTTGTCAATCTAGATCTGGTATGTCAAAATTAAACTAAATTACATGGAAGAACTTCTTAAGTTTCCATCATTTATTGATGATGTAGCTCCAAATCAATTAATGCTTTTTGTGCGTTCTTTAATCCAAAAGGGCCTTCCCTATTTAACAGCACTCGCTTTGATTTGTTTCCAGATATTAATGAGTGCCTTCAATTTGGAACTTGCTCGCAATACTGCAATAACACAAAAGGATCATACTTGTGTGCCTGTGGAAAGAACTACAGAAAAGCTTACAACCACAGTTGCAAAACAGAAGGTAATGATGCAAACTGATTCCATACTAAAGTAATATTTGTACGTAGTAATTGTTAAATGTTGATTTTACTTTTCAAAGTGCAATCTCGTGTTGACTGTTCATTGATTAATTAATTTGGTATATATTATTGTTAGATGGTATTGATTGTTGTTGCCATTTATGACATGTGAAGAAAACATTTTAAAAGTATATTATTGATGTTTTATAATTTTACAAGTTTACATGTTTCCATAAGATTTTAAAAAATGACATTTCTGCAATTTAGCCCCTCATTTGAACATATTTAAGATGAGTAGGCAAAATCAATCTTTTAAGAAAAATGGAACTTTGGCTCCGATTATTCTTGACTTGTTAAAGAGAGCACATTCTGAAAAAAAGCTCACATTTCCTGAGCACCAATTTTAGCTATTTCACTATGGAGGGAAGCGAATATTCTATCTTTTATTATTTCTTTTGCTGTTATTCTGGTAAGGTTTAGGCCAAATGTGATATGAAAGTTTCTGTTGTGATAGCATGATAACAACAAAGTAATTTCAATAAATCTCTGGCTCAACCAGTTTTAAAAATGAGAGCTGATCTTACTGGAACATATAAGATTCTGAGAGAGCTTCACAGGTAGAAACTGGGATGATGATCTCCTTAGAATTAGAGAGTTAAGAAGGTCTTGTGGAGCAGGCAGTAGTGCCTTTATCTTTGAAGTAGAAGGTCCAGTTTCAAGCCCCACTCAAGTGTTTGTTGCCAAGAAGAGTATGTAATGACTTGGCCATACAGTTTGATTATCAACCTTTAAATCCTTCCAATATGCTTATGATAAGAGCAGAAGGGCCTGCCGTTCGGCCAGAACCCTATAGTCAATGCAGCTCAACCATCTCCGCAAATTAGAAGACTCTGTGTACAAGTTGTTACCATGAGCTGTATTTTGTGTTAAACATCCTTCTTGTTTGATGTCACTACCAAATTCGTGGAGCACAGTTTCAGAAGAAAGGGTCTACTGTTTAAGATGGAGAGTAGGAGGAATTTCTTCTCTTAGAGTGTTGTTAGTTTTTGAAATTCTCTGCCAGGGAGAGCAGTGTAGTTTGGGAAATTGAATGTGTTCAAGGTTGAGTTGGACTGAATTTGATTAACAATTACATTGAGGATTCTGAGGACCAGCATAAAATTTGAGTTCAGACTACAATCAGGTCAGTTCACGATAGAACAGGCTTGAGGGGCCAAATGCCTACTTCTATTCTTTTTAATTCATTCACCAGATGTAGGCTTTGCTGTCTAGACTAACACCGATTTCCCATCTGTTAATGCCCTAGAAAGGATAGTGATAAGTTGCCTTCTTAAAAAGCTCCAACCTATATAGCATATGCACCCAAAAATGCTATTCAGCAGGGAGGAAATTTGTCCCAGTTATGGTGAAAGAAAGCAATAAAGTTCCAAGTCAGAATTGTGTCTGGCTTGTAGGGGATCTTACAGGTAGTGATGTTGCCATGTTTCTTCAGCCATGGTATTTAATCTGGTAAGACAGAGATCTTCACACTTATATCAAGTTTAAAATTAATGAGAGGATCATTGACATAAACAGGTTCTGTCAAATTCAAATAAATTCAAAATACTGGCAATGCTGCATATCTGAAATAAAAATAAAGTATTGGAGAAACTAAGAAAGTCTGGTTGCATCTATCTGGCAAAAATGACAGAAGATATTGGGAATCTCAAGCCCCTGACATTTTTAATTTTTGCAGGGTCTAACTAGCTGCCTCTGTGAACCACTCACGGTTCTCACAACCATGGTTACGGGAGGCAGCTAATCATTCAAGTGACTAACAGCTCCGTTGAAATGAGAATCTTTATGTCTGAGCCTTAAAGTGTGGTGGCTAGACCAGGTAAGAGCTCATTTGGTCCCTGGACTCCTTGGGATGGGACTCAGGGATCCTTGAGGGGAGGCCATCCAGTACTCTTTAGGCGTGGAGTTCATATCTCCTTTGAGACTGTTAGGGGTGGAGAAGATTGTGGGAAATTAGTACATAAACCCTCTTGGAACATTCCAAATTGTCAAGACCTGTCAACAGGATGCTTTGGGGCTTGAAAGGGTGGAGATCATGGTTTGGATCATGCTGTCTAAGGAGTATTGGCAAGTTGTCACACTGTATCTTGCAGATGCTACTGAAGGGTGTCAATCAAGGAGGCTGCTCTGGCCTAAATGGTGTTGCAGAACTGAAGAAGAGTCATACTGGACTCAAAATGTTAACGCTATTTCTCTCTCCACAGGGGCTCCCATATCTGCTTAGTGTTTGTTTCAGATTTCCAGCATCCGCCTTTTCTTGCCTTTAGATCTTCTCACACTTCTCTGTATTAATTTTTATCGGTCATTTGCCTTCCCATTCTACAAGCTTATCTATATACTGCTACAGTTACTTCTGTCATCGGCACATCTTGACATTTTATTTAGGATTCTAATATCCAAGAAACATATTTGTACACATATCTGAATAAAAAAGAAGCAATATTGCTCTTAACATAGGATCTTGGATAACCTTCACTGTCTCTGGGTCAAACACCTGGAATTCCTTCTGGAATGGCATTGTTAGTCAACCCACGGCAGGTAGACTGCAGCAGTTCAAGAAGGCAGCTCACCACCACCTTCTCAAGGGCAACGAGGAACAGGCATTAAATGCTGGTCAGCTGCCAACATCCACATCCAATGAATGAATAAAAAGGAGTGACCACTGTCCACCATCCACCAATCTGAAAAACAATCATTTTCCATAGCTTTCTATTTAACGTCCTGAAGCATTTTTAAAATCTAATTTGTCATTAACTTCCTGTTCCATGCAACTTAATTTTGTTAATTGATAAAGTCATAGGGACATACAGCATGGAAACAGACCCCTTGGTCCAACTAGTCCATGCCGACCAGATATCCTAAATGAATCTAGTCCCATTTAGAACAGAGTCATAGAGATGTACAGCACAGAAACAGACCCTTCAACAGCACGGAAAGGGACCCTTCGGTTAACATTTAATACTTCTGTTAAAAGGTTCCTTAAAATTTATATAGGCAATCTCTATTGCACTCCCTTCATCAATCTCCTCTGCTACTTCACCAAAAAGCTTGATTGGATTAGTCAAACATGCTATATCTTTTACAAATTTGTGCTGATTCTTCATAATTATGTCAAACCTTACCAAGTGCCTGTGTATTATTTTATTGATTATTCCTTTTAAAACCTTATCCACCAATAATGTTTAACTCATCAACCTATATTTACTCAAGTAAGGACTATGGCTCATGTGAGAAAGTTGAGAGGTCAGGTAGATCCCATTTCTGGAATGATACTAGTTGTGATGGGTGCCAATACGCAATCAACAGGAACTGAGTCAATTCACTATCTAGATTGGGAGAAGGGGATAATACTGATCCCCTTCACAACATCTCTGAGCTCATGCATAACTCGCTGGGAAACATTGAAATCAAGCACCAGAATTATGCGTAGAGGCTGCAATCTGAGGAACTAGCAAGAAAAGAGGATGGAATTAATTGCAAGTGTTTAATGAAACCCAAAGAAAATACCTTCAATCGCACTGATGTTTTATTGGAAGAGCTGTTGACTCAGCCATGAATAGCTGTTGAATGAGTAGGCTGACAGCACATAGGCATTGAATAGATTGAGAGAAATTGTGAAAAGATATACCTGAATGTCATCTCGTTACATGTATAACCTAACCTTGTTTTTTGATAGTACCAAAAAGGTAGCATGAAATTGAGGAGTTTTGTTCAGGTCTTTGGGTAGGGATCTTATTCAAGTCACCAAATAATTTTGATAAATTCTACTAGAACCTCCCCAGAGATTCAGACTTTATTGCTCTTAGTTGTTGTTTTATTCTCACCTCATACTGTATAATACTTCCGGTTACCAATCCGATTTGGATGTAACCCTGAATATTTCATGACGTAAACCTTTGCTGAGACTCAATCTACACTCCCATACATGTTCCATCCACCAGGTTTCCAGCAGCTACAGTATGTTTTTGTTTTAATCCAGATGCCTTCAATCTTCCTGTCCGATTCAACATTTTGTTTTTACACAATTGGATTAAACTTGACCATTGGTGAGTTATTTATTGCAATCTCCCCAAAGATTTCATTATAAGTAAATGTAAGCATTCAAAGAAAATGATTAAAATTCTTGCCGAACACTTCTAAGATTTGTTTTTACTGAGTTGCTTGCAGTGATGTCTGGAAGATTAATCCTCAATAACTAGATACTTTGAGGATGCTTGGCAGCCCTAATGACACTGGCAACAAATGTCTGTAGCTAATACATTTAATTCAAATGCACCACCTCCTGTCATAAATTTAACTTGTTTTCGCTTTGTGCCCGATTAACAATAATGGACCTGACTATATATTTCTCACCTTGATAAATGCACACATCTCCAAACTTAATTCTGGAGGATCTTATTATTATATTCCAGCCTGCCATCAACTTATACATTACACCTTGATTAAAAATTGAAATGTATCTTAAAGCTGAGAGGAAACTTCTCAATTTTTGAAGCGTGTCCAACAAAACGTGGGTTAAATTTTTAATGCAGTAGGTGAATTTCTCAGCAAATAAATGTATCATGTAAACTCGCTGCAAGGGCAGCAAACATGTTAGCTAGCAATGTTTAAAAGGAAATTGTGTGTGTTATACATGTACAGCAAAAACAATTGCAAGGCTAAGGCGAAAGAGTAAGGGTGTGGAACTAGCTGGATAATTGGATGGCTGAATGAGCCAGCACAGACAAAAAGTATGGAGGAGGCAGTGGCATAGTGATAATGTCAATCAACTAGCAATGCAGAGCCTCAAGCTCTCTTGTTATGGGGACATGGGTCTGGAAGATCATGAAATTTGAATTCAGCAAAGAAATCTGGAATTAAAAGCTAGCTACTGCCAACCACATATCTTTTGTGTGTAAACCCATCTGGTTTATTAATATTCTTTAAGGAAGGAAATCTGTCCCTA